GAAGGTATAGCACTCTGCAGGAGTGATGGTTAAATTGGCCATAAGAGGGCACACCTACTGCTTTAAAATGTTGGCTGTGGAAGGGACAGTTCAAAGCATCTTGCTCAGCTTAAGACACAAAACTATCTCTAACCAGTCTTTCTTGTAAATCCACATTTAAGCATGTTCTGGAGGACACGAAAGAATTACATTCTCAATCCATTTTAGTTAATAATAAAGGTAGATGTAGGTTATGTTTCTCTTACAGGTTCCCTTCTTCAAGGGAAGGCTCTGGCAGTCATCCCTGTGGGTTTTGTCACTGCTGGGTGAGATGGGGCAAATGTGGGGACCAAGAAAACCAACACAAAGAACACACAAGGAGGGAGGGCAGTGGGAAGGTTTGGAGGACAGAGGATCCACGTCATCTCCTCTGAACAGAGAGCCACTAGGATTGGGTGGTCTTCCAACAACCCTAGGGATGTGCACTGCATGCAGGTAGCCTCGCAGGACAGGCACTGGTTATTTTTCTTTTAAGACCAGTTCAAAGAGCTCACAAGACTGGAAGAAGAAGTTTCTCTCTCTACTTGGGATTATGTCAGCTGAATACTGTCACCAGGTGTAGTTCCTCTACCTACACTGTGGGAACACTCAGTCACGATTCCAGCTTTTGCAAGGGTCCTCTTATTTGGGAGTATTGTGAATTGATCAAACATTCAAATCCTAAATTGGCTCTTCCTGCTGTTTTCTACAGCCTCAGCAGCTGCCTGCTTAGTAGTTCAGCTTCTCTCCCCACAGCCTAGAAGTGCTTCCCTGCACTTCATAGGCAGGCCAGCTTAGAAGAGAGCATCCTGATTGTCAAGACAGAGAGTGTATTTAAGGGCAAGGATGAGCTGTGGGAGCCAAAGTTACAGACACCCAGGTGATCACCCTTCCTGGTCCCTGTGGGCAGGTGATCAGTGAGTGTCTGGGTATTTGGGATCATTTGGCTTCTGTCTGGCAGTTTTATTCTTGCAATACGTTAGGCAAAACAGAATCTTGTCTGTGCCTCTGTTTCTGTTGCTCTGTGTTCTCCTTCTTCTCCCGTTTTGCTCAGCAGGTACGTGTTCATAGCTAGACGATCCCTTTTGCACCTTCTTTCCTATAATTTTCTGCTTATTTGCAGGTATATCTAGCTACATAGGTTAAATCTGCTCATTACCTAGGCATAAGCTGTATCCATTAAATCACAGAAGGAAAACAAAAAACAAAGAAAAGTCCTTGTTCACATCCTTAGTTTATATTCTACTCTGCAAACAACGCTTGCAATTCTGTAATATACATAGCCACTTGTTCCCGATCACCTCTAGCTTAGACAGTTTTTTATAATGATTATACAAAAGTTTAGGCCTGGAGGTTTGAGAATCACCAGTAACGAGTGGTGTCCCTCAGGGATCGGGGTTGGGACCGGTCTTGTTCAACATCTTTGTCAGTGACATGGACGGTGGGATTGAGTGCGCCCTCAGCAAGTTTGCTGATGACACCAAGCTGTGTGGTTCGGTTGATACCCTGGAGGGAAGGAATGCCATCCAGAGGGACCTTGACACACTTGTGAGGTGGGCTGATGCCAACCTCATGAAGTTTAACCATGACAAGTGCAAGGTCCTACACCTGGGTCGGAGCAATCCCAGGCACAGCTACAGGTTGGGCAGAGAAGAGATTCAGAGCAGCCCTGTGGAGAAGGACCTGCGGGTGCTGGTCGATGAGAAAATGAACATGAGCCGGCTTCAGTGTGCACTCGCAGCCCAGAAAGCCAACTGTATCCTGGGCTGCATCAAAAGGAGCGTGACCAGCAGGTCATAGGAGGTGATCCTGCCCCTCTACTCTGCTCTTGTGAGACCTCACTTGGAGTATTGTGTGCAGTTCTGGTGTCCTCAACATAAAAAGGACATGGAACTGTTGGAACAAGTCCAGAGAAGGGCCACGAGGATGATCAGGGGACTGGAGCACCTGCCACATGAAGACAGGCTGAGAAAGTTGGGGCTGTTCAGCCTGGAGAAGAGAAGGCTGCATGGAGACCTCATAGCAGCCTTCCAGTATCTGAAGGGGGCCTATACGGATGCTGGGGATGAGCTGTTCATTAGGGACTGTAGTGACAGGACAAGGGGTAATGGGTTCAAACTTAAACAGGGGAAGTTTAGATTGGATATAAGGAAGAAGTTCTTTCCTGTAAGGGTGGTGAGGCACTGGAATGGGTTGCCCAGGGAAGCTGTGAATACTCTGTCCCTGGTGGTGTTCAAGACCAGGTTGGAAGAAGCCTTGGGTGACATGGTTTAGTGTGAGGTGTCCCTGCCCATGGCAGGGGGGTTGGAACTAGATGATCTTAAGGTCCTTTTCCACCCTAACTATTTGTCTTGGTTTAAACAAAGTCAGCCATAAATCATGCAGTCGCTCTCTCACTCCCCCCCTTTTTGCCCTCCCCCTGCTCCCAGAGGGATGGGAAGGAGAATCAAAAGATGCAACTCCCACGGGTTGAGATAAGAACAGTTTAGTACCTAAGGTATAACACAGATCACTACTGCTACCACCAATAATAACAATGATAAAGGAAATAACAAGGGAAAAGAATACAACACCTCACCACCAGCCAACCGATAACTCACCCCCAGCCTGACCAAGCACTGACCGATACCTAGTCCAACCCTGCAGTCCACTAGCTCTTCCAGGTAACTCAGTTACATCCTGGGCATGACGTGCTGTGGTATGGAATACCTCTTTGGTCAGTTTGGGTCAGGTGTCCTGTCCCTGCTTCCTCCCAGCTTCCCCTCCTCCCTGGCAGGGGGTTTTGGTTTGGTTGTTTGGGGTTTTCTTGTTGGGGTTTGTTTTCCTGTTTCCAGCACTGCATTGGTTAGCTAGGCTTTTAAATTTAGCAAACAAGGTTGTGAAAATCATATACAGTAGTTTGCAAATCATATATTGTCAGAAAACATGCATTAGCAGTTTTCTTGCCCTGTAGAAGAAATTCTTGTGGCATGTGAGTGTATAAAAAGCCTTGTCACACTCTGAGAGAGCCTCAGTATTTGCCTGTTTCTGCACTGTTATGAGAAGGAAGAGCATTACATTCCTTTCACTGGAGTATTGAACACACTGTGGAAAAACAGAGGCAGGCATGCCCACGTCAGCAGAAGGACTAGTGACCAGGTCCAGGACTAGGACTAGTGTCCTCAGTGACTATAATAAGATGTCACTGGTGATCTAGTAAATGGATTATGCAGGGTCATTCACGCAAGCTACACAAGCAGGTAAGTGACTTCAGGCATTGCTGCCTGTAATGGGAACACAAGTGCCTGTACCATGGACTTTTAAAGTTAGGTGAGATAAAGCTGGCTGTGGCTTCTACAAAACCTGGGCAAAGCTGATGCAGTGATAGACCTGAGAAGTACATTGGCTGACCAGCTGGAAAGCATCTTTGCAGAAAAGGACCCGGTGGTCCTGTGGGCAACAAGCTGACCAGGAGCCAGCAGTGTGCCCTTGTGGCAAAGGCAGCCAACAGCCTGCTGGCCTGCATTCTGTAGAGCAATACCAGCAAGGCCAAAGGAAGCAATCCTTCCCAACTGCTTGGAACTGTTGAGACACATCGGGAGTGCTGTGTCAGGTTCTGGGTTTCCCAGTAAAAGCGAGACACGGATACACTGGAGATTATCCAGTGAAGGGCCACTAGGATGAGAAAGGGAATGGAGTATGTGCTGTGTGACGAGTGAGAGAACTCTTGATCATTTTTCTTTAAAAAGAGCAGATTTGGGAGGGGTCTTGTCAAAGTGTATAAATACCTGATTGAAGGTGGCTGGGGCAAAGAACACAGGCCAGGCTCTGTGGAATCCAGTGATAGGATAAGACGTAATGGATACAAACCAAAACACAAGAAATTAGAATGAAAGGAATGGCGGTGAACCACTGGAAGAGGTTGCATAGAGAGGTTGCAGAGTCTCTGTCCTTGGACAACGTTGAAAGCCAAGAGGACATGGTCCTGAGCAACCTGCTGTAGGTGACGCTGCTTTGAGCAGGGGAGTCAGACAAATGGTCTCCAGAGGTGCCTTACAACCCCAGCTGTTCTGTGACTTTGTGACTAGATGAGACCTGACCTGGGGCCTGGAGAGATCCATCGATGAAAGGGCTGGGAATAACATAAGATGCCTTCCAAAGACCTTCCCTAGTATTGGCATCTTATGAGTCTATCCAGGGTGCTGCAGTGCTTGGAAGGATGTAGGGAGGGGAGAGTGGTCGGGACTACATAGGCCTGATATTTGTTGCAGCCAACTTGGTAGAAACTGCAGTAAACGCTACACTTCGTGGCTGTATGGATAAAGGTGACATTTTGTAAATGCGTGAACATGTCTTCTGTAAGGGACAGTCAGCTGCCATTGAGTACAGGGACAAGGGGAACCTGTCAAGAAACGAGGGACACCTGAATTTGGCAAAGTCATTCAATGAAGTATCTGATGTAAGAGGGAATATTCCCTAATGAATGAGTAAATTAATTGGTCTAAAGAGTGTGCGTTCAAAGGAGCATTGAGAACTGCAGTCTTGGGGTGGGAGGAGACAGCGATGTGAAACTCAGCTCAGTTATCATGGCAGCTACCCAAACAGCATGAGCACTGGGAATTCTAAGCAAAGGAGAAAACAAAACTAACCGTTTTCCTGTCGCAGTAGAAAGCTTAATGTGTAGCGATAATGGGTTTCGATTCCCTCTTCCTTTTTGAGTGTTGGGGCTTTTTTTCCTCATCAATTTCAAACTAGACGGGTTATTCACAGCACAGCTGCCTGATCTCTGTATCAGCCACTGTAATAGCTGAACGTATGATGTCACATCCTCCCCAATCTGTTTGCTATCTCCATGTGTTCAGACTACATCTCTATTTCTTTTCAGAAAAAGGAAGTGCAAGAACATGGAGTTCTAGGTGCTCTCAGAGACACTAACCTCTTGAAAACCTCCAGCTGAGCAGTCACTTCTGTGGTGTCTTGAAAGCAGGAACAGGTGAGTAGTATTTGCAGTTTCTGTGCAATGGGACTTGTAATTTCAGAGGAAGGTAGAGAGCCACATTTCCTGCGTTTGTTTTGTGAAATAGATGGACTGGCTAATGCAGCGTCTAAAATGTCCTCTTATCCACTGCAAAAGCGGGTAAGAGGATTTCTGAGTGTATTGTAGTAGACGTTCTTGCTCTTACTAAAAATATGCATGTAACCTTGCAGCTTGATCACCGTTAGCGCCACTCTTTCCTGCTTCCTCTACAGCAAAGACTCTGTCCCCTCCAGCCTGTACCTCCTTTCTCTTCTACAGCTTATCAAGCTAAAAATGATTTACATGATTTACCACAGTTGTGGTGTGGAGGGAGAAATGGGTATGTAAAAAAACAGTATTTTGTTTTCTTTGTTTTATGTTTTTTTTTTTTCCTGCCTGTAACACTCACAGCACATGCTGGTGTTTTTCTTCAGGAGAAAAAAGCGTTCCGCAAATCCAGACCTGATGATTTGTGTACTGGCTGCCTCTTCTCTGTCCCCCAAGCCCCACTGCCTTTTGAAGGGAGAGTGGTGGCTGTGTGCTGTTGCACTGGAAACCTCCCAGTGTGGCTGACAAGCCATTTTCTGGCTATATGGATTGTTCAGTGTGTCACCCAGCCACAGTACCTAGGGGTGAATGACAAATGGATTGTGCCAGCTTGGTTCTCTTTCCTGTCTGTTTGGTTACAATTGGTTGATTAAAGCTTTTGCTGTATCCTGAAGCTCTCTGTTCTGGATTATGGGGATCTGGAGATGGAGCAGAGGGAGGCAGGAAAAATCATAGAATTATTTAGGTTGGAAAGGACATTTAAGATCATCAGGTCCAACTGTAAACCTAGCATTGCCAAGTACATCACAAAACCACATCCCTAAATGCCACCTCTACATGTCTTCCGGCATAGCGACTTAACTATTTTCCTGGGCAGCTTGTTCCAATGCTTGACAATCCTTTAAGTGAATAAATATTTCCTGATAACCAGTCTAAACCTCCTCTGGTACAACTTGAAGCTGTTTCGTCTCATCCTAAATGCCTTGCTGCTTCTTCATGTGCTTTTGTGCACTGATCTTTGGGGCTGCAGTGGTGCGCCCAGGAGGTGCTGGTTCTGTTTTCCTTCACTTTAAGGGAAGGCAAGGGCCGAAATACTGATGCTAATGCTGAGAATGTAGCTAGAATGACTTCTTTTTTTTGTTGTTGCTGTCAAAGAGAGAAAGTAAGGATAGGGTGGAGGTGGGATTGCATATCCATCACCTGGCAATTCCACAGGTCACAGTCAGCATGGCCTTTTCATCCTGGGTTGGTGACCATTTGGTTAGACAGCACTACCTACCAGAGGAGGTAGAAATGAGGACTTGGCAGGGGAGTAGGGTTGGGAAGCAGCCTAGAAACTCTGTCTACCTAGTCAGTTCTTATCCTTACTGTCTGCATCTGCCTTCAAAGCTGCTGCTGCTTTCTATCAATTCCCCTCCCATTATTCATCCATTTTGCTACCCTACAGTGCCATGAAAAATGGGCCAGGCTCTATGTAGGGGCAGGCGGTTGTTTTTGAAAGTCAGCAACTGCTGGATCAACAGCCTGGGAAGCTGAGGGCTCTTGATATGAACTGACAGAACTGGGGGTTTGGTATTTTTGTTTGGCTGTGGAACAGGCAGCTTGTGTATCAGGAGAAAAATACCATAATGAGAAGTTTTCATCGGGGCAGCAGATCCACACAATAGCTGTTGACAGAGCTCCAGGAATATTCATCAGGTTCATTCCTATTTCCTTGTCCTAGGGTTTTTTGCATATTTGTCTCATGTACAGAATAACCTGAAATTCTAGATGATAGATAAAGCCTCTAATGGTGTTCCCAGTTTGTTGTGCACCAACATGAAGGCATGACATTTGTGCATCAAATGCCATATGTCCTTCCAAGCAGCAAGCACAACTTACATGGGTAACATACATGGACAGAACTGAGGATCAGTCTGGGTTTGTGACACACAGGAAAGAGAGACTTGTATTTTATGTTTGAAACATGGGGACACAAAGATGGGCAGTAGTTTCTGATGTGAGATCTGAAGGCCCTGTGACAATATGGAGAAGCCAGGAGACTGTTTCAGAAATGACCAAAAGGCATAATTTAGGCATGCTGCCCTGAGGTGGCAGAAGGAGAGTTCTGCTGTGCCGTGGTGTTGTCCAGAGGCTGTCCGTGGTCTGCTGCCTTTTCTGTCAGTGCCTTTTTCTTCTTTTCTCCTCTTCAGATCACGACTGTCTTGGGAGAGTAGGCTCTGGCTGGAGCAAGACTGTCCAGCATGTCCAACTGCCTGCCAAAACTGACCACAGTGCTGCTCAGCCACAGGCTCGGGGCTCTGTCTATCCTCACCGTTTCCTTTTTGTTCTTTGCTTCTGTCATGTTCTACTGGAGAACTGGAGAGGACGCTGAGAGCCAGCTCTACAGCTTGCCTACACAAAGCAGGTGTGAACTGGTTTTGCCTTCCCTTCCCCATCCTACTGCCAGTGGGCCCCCTCCTTCCCCAGGGAATGTGTTTTTTGTGGAGACATCGGAGCGAACTGACCCAAGTTACCTGTTCATGTGCTCTGTGGAGTCAGCAGCGAGGACGCACCCTGGGACAAGGGTCGTGGTGCTCATGAAGGGCTTGGCAAACAGGAACGCCTCGTTACCCAAACACTGGGGCTTCTCATTGCTGAGCTGCTTCCCCAATGTGGAAATCCAGCCCCTGGACTTGACAGAGCTTTTCTCTGGAACACCTCTGGCAAAGTGGTACTTGCAGGCTCAGCAGCGCTGGGAGCCTTATTTCTTACCTGTCCTGTCCGATGCCTGCAGAATTGCCATCATGTGGAAATTTGGTGGCATCTACCTGGACACAGACTTCATTGTGCTTAAGAACTTGAAGAACCTCACCAATGCCCTTGGTATTCAGTCTCAAGATGTGCTGAATGGGGCTTTTCTGTCCTTTAAACCCAAGCATGGGTACATAGAGCTTTGCATGCAGGACTTCGTAGACAATTACAATGGCTGGATCTGGGCGCACCAGGGGCCAGGTCTCCTAACACGTGTGTTTAAGAAGTGGTGCTCCATCAGTAATATCCAGAGCACTATGAGCTGTAAAGGTGTGAGTGCTCTTCCCTCAGAAGCCTTTTATCCCATTCCCTGGCAGGACTGGAAGAAGTTATTTGAAGCCATCAGCCCCTCAGTGCTTCACAAGCTCCTTGAAAACACCTATGCAGTGCATGTATGGAATAAACTGAGCCATGGGACAAGGTTAGAGATCACATCCCAGGCTTTGCTGGCTCAACTGTATTCTCAGTTCTGCCCTGCTACATATGCAAAGGTGAAGAAGGACTCTTGAAGAGCAGCCAGGGCCTGCGGTATGACCTGTGGACCTTTGGCTGCAGGGAAGTTCTCCAACCTGAAGGACACTCAGTGCCTTTCACCTTCCACAGAGCAGGTATTCCATGTGACAGCTCAGTGATTTTGTACCATTTCCAATATCTGCCTCAGACCCTACGTGCTTCAAATGAACCAGAACCTTATTTTGGACTCTTTTGCACTTCAGTAGCTCTTGGTGCTGCAGAGAAAGGTGAATTTGTTCATCAGTGCCTATCAGTTGCTGGTCTATTGCTGTTATCTCATTGTTCCTCTTGTGTATTATACCTCAAAAGCCTCTCTGTAGTTTCAACAGCTGTAGGAACCCTTGGCTTGTTCTCTGTAATGTTTCTAAGTATGTAAATAAATGCCAGGCTGTGCTATAGGACATGGGTTACTGTAGCTTAGGACCAAATCCCATGAGTGGTAAAGCCTCCTACGGCTGATGAAGTATATGGGGAGTATATGAAAAATTCTTAAAGAAAGGGAAAACATTTTAAATCCCTGCAGGGGTCTGTGTAAAGTCTTTCCTGTTTTCCAAAGGTACTTTATTTCATAGAATCATAGAATCATAGAATAGTTAGGGTTGGAAAGGACCTTAAGATCATCAAGTTCCAACGCCCCTGCCATGGGCAGGGACACCTCCCACTAAACCATGCCACCCAATGCTCTGTCTAACCTGGCCTTGAACACTGCCAGGGATTGGAGCATTCACAACTTCCCTAGGCAACCCATTCTAGTGCCTCAGCACCCTAACAGTAAAGAATTTCTTCATTATATCTGATTTATACTTCCCCTGTTTAAGTTTGAACCCATTACCCCTTGTCCTGTCACTACAGTCCCTAGTGAAGAGTCCCTCCCCAGCATCCATACAGACCCCCTTCAGATACTGAAAAGCTGCTATGAGGTCTTCACGCAGCCTTCTCTTCTCCAGGCTGAACAGCCCCAACTTTCTCAGCCTGATTTTTTCCTACTGTTTTACATTCCACAGCAATAGGCCAATTTTTCTGGTCCTCTTCAGGAAAACAGACAGACAAAAGCAGTTTTTACCAGTGTGACGAAAGATCCTTGCTTTGTTGAAAAAAATCTTGTGGGATGTGCATATCTAACCAGTCCTTGACACACTGAGGGTGTCAGTATATGCCTTTTTCTGCATTGCTATGGGAAGGAAAAGCATTACATTCCTTTTCACTTGAATATTGAACACATTGTGGAAAAACAGAGGCAGGCATGTCCACATAAGCAGAAGGACCAGTGACCAGGTCCAGGACTAGGACCAGGTGTCCTCAGTGATCTCATTACTGTCACTGGGGATCTAGTAAATGGATTATGTATGGACATTCATCTAACGCTTATGCAGGTTACACAAGCAGGTAAGTGACTTCAGGCATTGCTGCCTGTAATGGGAACACAAGTGCCTGTACCATGGACTTTTAAAGTTAGGTGAGATAAAGCTGGCTGTGGCTTCTACAAAACCTGGGCAAAGCTGATGCAGTGATAGACCTGCTGTTGATCTGATGGATCTGATGACCATTCTCACAGCTGAAAGCATTTCCTATGTGTCCAAGGCACTGTAATTGTAAAAATGCATTTGAAATTAATGTTGTATTAAATGAGAAGAAAAGAACGTCTGGTTCTGTTTGTGCCAAATCAAAGTTCCTGTCGGAAGGCAACATGTAAGCAATGTGTGATTATTTCTTTTTCAGATATGCAGTAGCTAACAAATAAGAGAAATATGTATCAATTTTAATATGACCTTTCCCTAAATTCCATTATCTGTTTAAAAGTATAGGGTTATCATGCATAAAGAAAGGCTGATGTAAGTTTGATCCAGCTTTTAATATGAGCAGAAATATGTCTCAAGACTTGTCAGACACTGAGCCATGGCACACTGTTGATTAAACACTCCATTGCAGACCAAAAGCAAATGAGTCATCAATTTTTACTCAAAATCAGTTGTATAAAGCAACACCTCAACTTACTCTGCTATTTGGTCCCTATTCCTTTTCCTTCTCCTCTTTCCCCACCCCCCCAAAAAATGTTGCCTGATCACTCTAGGTACTAGTCTTCACTACCAGTGTTGAGGAGTACTGGATATGCTGTTCCAATGTGGTGACCATGGCGGCAAACAACTATCTGTAGCTTGTATTCCTCTATCATCACTGTTTCACGTGTGACGTTTCCTTCAGACAGCAGGAAAATGATGGTGTAAAGGGCAAATTCAAACTCCGGGCTGACACCAATAAAGGTGCTTCCAATTGGCTTGACTGAGCCCTTCCAGCTGAACTGGATGCTCAAAACTTGGTCATCTTTGTCAGGCTGAAAGCACAAATAGAACAATGAATTATTTCTGAAACAGCTGCAGCCAGGCAGATAGAATTTCTGACTCAAGATTTTTGAGAGCAGTGTGAGATTCAGTCATCCTTGCTTTGCCAGGGTGTTATAGCTGGAGCACAGCCTTCTCCCTGTCTTCTGGAGAATGTGTGATCATTTATCTCAGTTAAGTTTCAGCAGTGTTGTGGTTCTGTAACCACCATTACTACTTTTTAAAATAGGGTTTACAAAACAAAAAAGAAGCTAGACCTGAGGGCATGCTCATATTTCTTCTTATATACACCTGGGCAAATCAGGTTCAAAACACTTGAGCCTATGATGGCATTGCTGTGCCTTGATTCATTGCCACAGCTTTTATCTCCATATCCATTTGTCTTACTTGCAAAGGCACCCTGCTTGTTCTTACCCTGGTTTTGTTCTTCCGAGTGACATATCCCTTGTAATCGATTTGGTTGCGCTTTTCCTGAAGGTAAAATTGCACCCAGTTGTGCAGACCTAATATCTGTTTACCACGCCTCGTTTCTCCAACAAAAACATGTTCAAAACCACAAGAATCAGGGCTGTAATAAACCAAAGAATAAGGTTTATTTATATATAGGTCTCTCGCACTGTTTAAACATTTAAATAATTCAGACGGGCATAGGTGAAAGGTAAGATGTACAAGCTTGGTTAGGCTGATTTATGAGTAGTTTTTTTATCTGTCTGGATTTGTTAGGTTTTCTTTCTTACTTTGCACAAATATTGCAATAAAATCTAGCCACAACGTCTTAATTGGATTATGAAGGTTGCTAGTAAGTGCCACAGATGCATCACTGCTGCTTACCCAGATTTTAGCAGGGCTTCTGGCACTGTCTCCCATAACAGATTCATAGACAAACTGATAAAGTACAGATTAGAAAAGTGGATGATGTGGTAGGCTGAAAGGTGGATGGATGAATGAATATATGTCTGTGGTTGAAGGCCTGTGATTAGGGACATAAAGTGCAGCTGGAGGCAATTCACCAGTTGTGTACCCCAAGGGTCAGTACTCCTAGTATCAGTAAGTCTTTAAACACAATCTCTGTGGGAGCAATGAACACCTGAGGCTGTCTTTCAGTCCTTTGTGTAACAGACAGCAGTTTGGCTTATATATTTACCTAAATCAGAGAAGTGGAGAGATTAGCAAGGGCCATATCCATTCAACATACCTGTCTCCTCTTTTCCTGGGGTAGAGCTGGAACCAGATGTCATAGAGCTGATGTTTGAAATCGGCAACGTTTGGCTTTGCTAGGTTTTTTTTAAGCAGATATTCATGAGCTAGCTGAAGGATAGAATACCAGGATACATGCAACAGTTTAGCTTTTAATTCAGTGTTTTTAGTGACTTAAAAATGTCTGTGTTACTCACTTTCATTACTTTTGTCGCTAAGATAGCATCAAGAAAACGATTGTTTTCAGCTATTTCTTCTGGAGTCACTACTTCTGCTACACCAGTTGATGTCTCATAGTTGTCCAATAAGGAAATAAAGGCTGCAAAAAAAAAAGAGAAACTTTCAGCATGCTCATTCTGATGAATGAAGGCTTAATAGTACCTGTGATCCAGACACTGGAGAGTGCCATAATGGAAAGATGCCACATAATATGCCTTGACAGGCCTTAGAGAACAATGCTGCTTTATTTGTCAAGTTTCATTCTTGGGTACATTGTTAGGTGTAAGTCTGGGAGTGACTACAGGCTAGAACACTGCTGGACTTCTTTTTAAGATAAACAGCTCACTATTGATCTTCTTTATGGAACCAGGTGCTGAAGCAGTAATGACCTTATATCTGGCCACCAAAATTACAGACAAGCTTACAGATTTGAACTAAGCTGGTGGGAGGCTTTGTGAGCCTTAGTTCAGGAGAGGAATAATACAGCATAAACCTATACGAGATGGCTTGAGCTTGGGCATGTGGCCACTGAGCAAATGGGTTAATTTTCTCCTTTTCACCCCTTTTGCTCCCTGCCATCACTTCATCTACTCATGCTCATCACACCAAACTGATAGAAAAGTACATGAGGTCAAAAACCTAAGTAATTCCCTGCCAAGTTAGTGAGCTGAAGGAACTTGGTGTAAGGTTTGCTGAGTACCAGAGCTGCCCTCACTTAAGGACAGGATTGTGTGGCTCAGAGAGGAGTGGGGGGAAACAGAGAAAACCAGTGCTCCCCATTATGCTGGCTGTTTGATTAAAGTAACTCTATCTGGAGAAAAGAAAATCAGGGAAGGAAACATGCATTCATAGACATGCTTGAAGTATAACCTTCCACAGAGATGCAAGCAGTAGCTGTGGACTTTGTGTTATCTGAAAGGGCTAGAAGCTGTGAGCAAAGGAGAAAAGATGACTGACATCTTTATCAATACCCAGAATAACATCAAAGCAATGGTAAGACTCTCTTCCATTTCACTTTGTAGTGGAAGAACCACAGAGAAATTTAGATCTGGCTAAGGACAAGGATGTTTTGCCTGAGGCTACAGGTAACATCCATGCAAATGTTGTGGGAACTGGAGCACCTCCCGTATGAAGAAAAGCTGAGAAAGTTGGGGCTGTTCAGCCTGGAGAAGAGAAGGCTGTGTGGAGACCTCATAGCAGCCTTCCAGTATCTGGAGGGGGCCTATAGGGATGCTGGGGAGGGACTCTTCATTAGGGACTGTAGTGATAGGAAAAGGGGTAATGGGTTAAAACTTACACAGGGGAAGTTTAGATTGGCTATAAGGAGGAAATTCTTTCCTGTAAGGGTGGTGAGGCACTGGAATGGGTTGCCCAGGGAGGCTGGGAATGCTCCATCCCTGGAAGTATTCAAGACCAGGCTGGACGAAGCCTTGGGTGATATGGTTTAGTGTGAGGTGTCCCTGCCCACGGCAAGGGGGTTGGAACTTGATGATCTTAAAGTTCTTTCCAACCCTAACTATTCTGATTCTATGATTCTAAGTACTTTCAAATTACATAAGGCCTGATCCTCATCACCATCTAAATTAAATAGGATGTTATATATTAGCAAACACTTAAAACCCAACATAGATTCTTCATGTCATTTCCATCATTAACAAAAGAATGTTACTTCTACATTTTACATTAACAAGAATGTTAATGATTTACATCATTAACAAAAGAATCTCACTTGCAAAAGTTTTTATGCTCTTCAGGTGTTCTTCATTTACGTTGTGAAACAGACGTCTCGCTGCACTGTCACCTTGCTGTGCAGCACCTGCTTTTCCCTAGGAGAAACATTAGAGTAAGACAATGAAAGAAGTAAGATGTCCTTAGAGGAGACAGTGCCTGCCTTTATAATAACCAAAACAAACCCCATAATGCTTTTGGGATTCTTTGTTAGGAATTGTCTTCCTATGAAATTTCAACACCACAGTTTGCCATCATCTGCATAATTGGAAAGGTTGCACTCCATCTTCTCCTCCAGGCCACTGATAGAGATATAAATAGGACCCAAGTTAAAAATATATTTATAATATATAAAGATATATTACAGGACCCAAGACAGACACCTGAAAGACTTTTCCACTTGGAACCAACGCCCAGGTAGCATGGATCATTAATGTGTTCTCTGTACTGTTCCCTCTCCCATTATTAGGAAATCCTGCCTATGCATTTAATGGAAATGATAAAGCACGGGCAAAATGATGTTTTGCCAACACCTTTTCCTATAGTACCATATTGCCCTTAACCCTTATGTGACTTAGCAATTGGTTACCTGCAAATCAATTGTGTAGTCTTTTCCAGGCATAAGGCGGTTAACATCCATATCCCACAACTCATTGAAAATTGTAGAAAGTTCATGATTTAGGGCTTCCCTGTCAAGAAATACAGTGAAAAAAGATGTGTGCTATTATTTCTGTAAATTACTTCTAGCATCTTCTGATGTCACTCTGTGTTCTGGATTTCAGCTTGACATCAGGAGAGCTTTCTCTTCTCCCCCCACCTTCCTGTCAGTGCTGCTCTAAAAAACATAGAGCTCACGGTTCATGCTCCTATCTAAAGAATGCAGGTAAGCTGTAAGAAAACTTGAGCCTTCCCTCAGGTTATTTTAGAGTCCTTTTTAACAAAATTTTTGCTAATAAGCCTTCCTGCAGTTTTCCATGCACTGAAATAAATATGAGGATGGTGGTGGTGTTTCATTCAGGAGCATTCTATGTACAAACAAGCAGTGTAAAGCAAGCAGGAGACTGTTATCAACGTGTAGCAACACTACACAACAGAACAGGAAGCACAGGAAGCAAAGCATTCTATGTTTTCTAGCAGCAATCTTTTATACACCCTTCCTACCTTCCTGCAAGACCCCATGCTAGAGACACTTTCCTTCACCCATATGCGTGGTTATCCCAGCAAAAAGTTAATGATGAAGTGTGACCAAGACTCATTTTAAACACAGGGTCTGCATACAATAAAATTCTCTCATGCGCTGATCTCTGATGCACATACAAACCTACCCAGGCTGGTCCTTTCCTCATTTTAATAGAATTTTATCCTGCATAATAGCTTATAGTTTTCAGAAGTCTGTCCATCAGTAAGATTAGGAAGGGTTATTATTGTGATGAACCACCCAAAAGTACCTCCAGTTTCAAGGGCATTAAGTCTAAACTAATACATAAGACCAAGACAAAGAACAGAGTGAAGAAGAAAGAGAAGTAGATTAATTTTCAAATGACTCACAGTTCAATTAATCCATTACAAACCAGCACATGCACTGATGCCCAGAGAAGGATTGCTTGATGATTTTGTATTCCTCCTCCAAAGTAGATGCCAAGTATAGAAAAAAATGTGCCAACATTTGTCAACAATGGGCATTTCTTTCAAATAATCATTTGGGCAACTTGCCATGATTTTAACTGATTCTCCCAGACTGAACCAAGGCACTTTCAAGCCCAACTCTGAACCTCCTAAGTAGTTACTGTTACATCTTCTCCTTGTGCTCTGGCCAGGATGGAGAGGCTTGCTGCATCCTCCTGCCAGTGGCAAATTCCATGCTTTTTAGCAGAAAAGAGCAAACAAATATTGTGGTAAGCTGAGAGTCTTCTGATGTGCCAGCCTTGATGTGAGCAGCTTGAGAGCCAGGAAGAGCAAAAAGCCAGCTAGGTGGGCACCTGCCCATTACTGGCAGTGAAGCAGCAGAAGTCAGAGCAGAAAAGAGGGCATTAATCAAATGGGGGGAGGAGTACAGCAAGATGTTATGAGAATTCTCTTGTCCTGGACTGCACTTCACGGCTGGCTCAGAAACTACTGGTCTAAGCTGTATATCGAAAGAAACAGAACCAGAAACTATCAAACTGTGCCTGTAGAACTGAGACTTCCTCTCCTCTTCTCCTTCCATTATTGAGCAATCCTTTTTCCCTGGAATTGTCTGTGTGACTGTGGGATGGAACTCATACAGCCTAAGGTTAGAAGCTCCTGAAAAGCATAAGCAATCTGCGCTTGGCTACTTGAGAGCTTGTTGCCTGCAGGAATTCACATCCCTGAGGTAAGAGTCAAAAGCAGCCAGCTGACATTAATGGACCAGATGATAAGATGCAGCAGCTGAGGAGCATATGAACATATGTGGTTTTATATTATATGCAGTATTAGAGTGGGGAAAGAAACCTCCTACAGAAGGGTGGGGCAGACAACCATAACTACTTCATCTGCCACAACTCAGCCTGCCTGTACTGGAATGTGAGCCGTCATGTACCTCAGCTATGCTGGAGGCACCGACAGGCTGGTTTTGCTCAGGTTCTGTGATACTTTGAGATCGTTGTTGATGGGAAATCTACAAGGCTCACTTGAATTTCGAACTGGGCTTGAATAGGTGTCAATACCTGAAAAAAGGAAAAGGACTAAAAATTCTAGTATATGGGAGCCAAAGGATATGTTTGTTGTTAGGGTTAAACATGAATATGAAGGAAGATTTTGGGTTGGAACAAGTACTTGCATGGATCTTACAGTGGAGCAGAAGGAGGCTGGCACAGAGGAGCCATATTCAGCCCTTGCCCAAACCCCAGGCTCTGCTTATACTGCAGAAGTGTGGCTTGTGGCATCACATTATCGATACTGGCTATGCAGCCCAAACGAGGCACCTTCTCAACTTCATGTGGAGTTAGCCTCAAGCTGTACCACAGAAGCCACGAACAGCAGCATTTTCAGCCATTCATTCTTTCCAAAGTCTCGAGAAGAGCCGTTCCTTCTCAAAAGAGCTTACAAATCCACACTAAGCAGAAAACTGTTCATCTCACCAGCTCAGCTGAAGTCCCATGAACAGGATCGGCAAATTCACAGAATAGGACTGGAGATGTTTTTCAAACATCATGTCTACATTCATGTTACCTCGGACTGACCTAATTTTATTGGATCACTTTTCTCTTGTGCTCTGGACCCTCCTGCTGTCTATTCCTCTGCATCAGGCTTATTCTAGCTATTGGAGTGCCACCATGTCATGTTTAATACAGTTTTTACTTTGGAAGTAACTACCAGTGGCGGATAGGAGCCTGCTGTCTAATGAACATGCAAGGTATGTGAAACATTGGGGGCAATGTCAGTTGTTTATTTTGGGGTGGGGTGTTTTTGTTGTTGGGTTTTTTTTTAAATATATATATTTTGTTCAAAATACATAGTATTTTATGTACATATATTTTAGTATGTATGTATTTTGGTAAAAGCCACCTATACAGGAAATCTATCATTCCTTCAACACCTACTGCTCATTAATTGCTCTTGGCAGATTTGTCCTGTTTTCATAAAGCCTACAAGGCCCTGTTTGATCTTTCCTCCTCTAGAAATGTTATGGAATATTGCATGAGCTTATGGAGGGAAGCTCAAGGTGTCTACTCAGGAGAGGGTTATAGCAAAAGCATACCTACAGATTTCAAGCCTCATATTTGTTTAATAAGTATACTTCTACTAAATGTATTCCTGCATTCAGAAAATGTGTCCCAAACCTCTATAGTCACTTAATATTATAAAATAAAAAGCCTTTTCTCTCCTTCTTCTCTGCTGGGTGCTATCACACTATCATCATGAACTTTTCCTCTCCTTTTTGTTGCCCCTTTAGTTCCCAGAGCAGAGGTCCTGTACACATTGTAACTTCAGACTGAAATAAAAAAACTGTATCCCTGCCAAAGCAAAGAACTTACTCAGTGGCTTACATACTCATCTTGTAAAAACTCTTTCTGGACAGTCTTTCTTTTAAAAATGTCCATAAACTTAGCTTACATGTAAGAGGTGAAACAACTTCAAACAGAAGCGGCCAAACACCTTCATGCAAACCCATGACACACAGCATTTAGGTAACATCTTCTTGGGAAAGAGTACTGTGTATTTACTCTCTGCTCTTCCATACAATTACATGTATGACTCAAACCAGAGATTTTTATCATTAATTCTCAATCCTCTCCCTGTGCTGAAATCTCTCAGTTGTTAGATCTATGCTGGATAAATTAGGGGATAAATTATTTCTTTGCAAGTCTGTCCAATTGGATTTTATTCAGTTGAAGACTTGCTTAGATGTGCTTATGTGCACAAACCACCCAACAACAAGAACACTAAGTCTGCACTTGTAAGAGATGAGAAAACTTTTTTGGGAGGCTCTTTGCAATAGTAACTCCATTGCACCAGCAATGTGGCTAGAGCAAAAGAATCTAACATCTCCATTTTGTTGCAGCTTTTGAGTGAAACATTCACATGGTGTGTCTGCTTCGTCCAAGTTATTTTCTTCTATGAAACCTTCATTCTATGCAAAACAATGCCCCAAGAAGTCTTTTATTGCTATAAATCAGAAATGACTCAAGACATGAAGAGAATTAAAAGGTCAGTGGCAAATCATGTGAGCAAGTCAACAGTGTCAAAGCAAGAAAAACATGTCTTGCAAATGGGTCAGATGAAGCCCTTCAAAGAAGGTTTGATTTAACATCTCTAAAGCAAATTTACCTTCAGCGATCCTTTGAACATCATCCAATTTTAAAAAGCCTTTAATCGTGGCATAGAGAAGAAAAGCATTTGGAAAGCCTGGTGAGCGGCCATTTATAGGAAGTTCCCAACCATTTTAAAAAAATTGGTTCAAATGTTGTGAAATACATGCGTCAGCTTATATGGTTAATAGAAGATACAAACAATTATCTTGATTTTCCTCTTATGCCAGTGTATATGTCTTTTACTTGAGTCTAGTGATATTTTTCTTAGTTTAAAGCTGGTAGATGAAATAGCAAAGGACAAATAATACAGATTTTGTAGGTGGGAAGAAAAATGTTGTCTATGGACAAAAACAGGGTAGGCAGTTACTGGGCAAACACTTTGTCAGAGCCCTGGGAAGGCATGTTTGGAGAACCAATTCTATGTTATCAGCTATGTTTAAGCAAAATCTGATCTCAGCATGAACTTAATTTAGCTAAAGCAGCTTATGTTTCACTTCTCTCCCATTTCGTAATCTGAGTTGGTGAAATAGAATGGAAAGAGGAAGTGGGGTTACTGCTGTGCTGCATTTCATGTAACTCCCTTTTACGCATCTACCAGAACAATATATCCCATCCCCACTGCCCTTTGCATTAGAGAAGCATTAGTATGATTTTCTCTTACCCATTAGCCATGACAGGAATGAGTTATTCTCTCAGCAAACACACTGAAAAGGGATAAGGCAACTGGAAGCTCAGAAATCCTCCTGGTAGTACAAAGCATAGAGCTGTCTCCCTTTTATACTCCGTTTGCTAGCTGAGGACTGTCACTCAGACTGACAGGCAGCTCAGGAACGCAAGGGAGAGGCAGGAGGTGCCAAACCCCACAATAAGACATACAGTGTAAGGACAAAACGACATCTCATGCCTCTCTCAGCGCAAGCATGCACAAACCAGGAAGTCAGAGCCACCACTATCAGGCTCCTGCTTAATTTTATCACTGCAGGCAATCAGTATGGAAAAGAAAACAGAAGGTGATGGCAGAGAGACACATGGTGGCCACCACCTTCTCCACCTGGGTTTTCAGATACAGTTTTGAGATCCTTGTATGAACTTCAGACATGAGTCACAGCATTATGTCTGGATTATTTATTAGCAGATTTTTAGATGGCTGGAAGAATTTTGGCCCTGAAATAAACACTGCAAGTCTGAAAGCCTTGACTGAAATGGACAAGGCCATTCTTGACTTGCTGTTCTACCTACAGTTATTATTTGCCAATAAAAAGGAAGATGATAATAAACAGAGGTTGCAAACATTACAGGTGGGGAAGAAAAACAATTTATGCTTGTTTATTTACAGCTTAAATTGCTAGTTACAACCTTGTAAATATTTGGAAGTATTATAATCAGGAAATAGTGTATAAAGGCAGCACTTTGCATGTACCACTGGAAGCAAGTGGTGGCAGGTGCTGGCAAGTGGAGGTACCCACTCCAGTACCTGTCCTGGGATGCATGCATTCATCATATGGCTAAACTAACCTTCAGGTGGTTGAATGCTTATTTTTGTTTTATAATTTTAAAATTCTGTTCTTCATAGCTATTAATTTCAGAAAACCATAGCTTTAGATTTAAACTGTATATGCATACACAGAAGCCAAAATGGTTTGATGTTAGGCCACCAGTTATAGAAATGGTTGTGTACTTCTGGTCCATGTAGCCTTCAAAGAATCATATTAGAGCCAAACAAAGCTCCCAGTAGTGGAGATACCTGACACATGGAAATGTACAGGGGACAAAACACACAGCTAGCTCACTTAAAACACTTAAAAGTGAAGATTCCTTCTTACGTTGGTAGGGGATACTTATGTATCTCAAAACTGAATATCCTTAATTTTAACTGAAATTTTCTTTACCCTTTTTTTGTTAGTATTTATTGCAGTTCTGGGTAAGCAAGGAGAAAAAATACAGTTCCTGAATGCAGGAGTTATTTCTCTAGGCTTTAATTTAAAATACAAAAGCCAGTGGGTATAGTCTATCTGTAAGAAAGTTGCAGCTCCTTTATTCACACTAGCAGAAGGAGCCCTGATGGGAGCCCAGGGAATTTCCATTTACAAGCAGCAGCATCAGTGGAGTCAGCAATTTTCAGTTAATATTTTATAAAATTACAGGTCAGATCAGTAGCATCACTAGTAATTTCATAATCATGTACTTAAATCTCTTGTAAAACTTCTATCCTATGATTTAGACATTGAGCTAAGAAAAACTTAAGGATCCCAAAGAGTGTAAAATGGTGTAAACACTGCCAATAGAAATGAAGCGCTGATCAAAGGCAAATGAGATTGGTGCAGAATCTGGGTCATCCCTGGGTCTAACACAGGCTGTAGGAAAACCTGTCCAGAGAGCACCCTTGCTAACACCATGGGTTGGCTTTCTCTACTGAGAAGACCAAACAGTGCTTTGTCAAACTGGGGACACTGTTTGCTGTGCAGGAGCTAAGATCAGGTTTTGCCTGCTCTCTGTTCTTCTTGTCTGGCACAAGGCAAAAGGGGAGAGTATTTAGCACTGTCTCACTCACATGTGAACAGCATTTCCAAAGAAATAGGGCAACAGACTTGTGGAAGATGCTCTGCCTGACAAAACTGCCACCTCAAGCATCAGATGCTGACCTATAGTAAGGTCAAGGATCAAGGAAACCCTGTGAATAAGACCCGTTTCTAAAGCATGTAGGCATCTGTGTGCATTTCTGGCCTAAGTATTGCACTTTTCCAACCAAGGTAGCCAGTGGATAGGTGCTGGTTTTTTCACCTCTGGTCAGGTGCCTAAACTTGCCTGAAGAGGGAAGAGGCTCGTTCAGCATTAATTTAGACATCCTTGGTGGATCTAGAGAGGGTGAGTGAGGACACTGTGCTTTGCGTTCTTCCAGACCAAAGCAGCCAAGAGGGCTCAGACATGCACAAAGGGCTGGAAAGGCTCACTCAGGAAGACTGAGTAAAAGCTGGCAGCTAGAACAAATATAGTACAGATTTATAGCAGGCTCAGTCCTTTCCCCAGAGAAGCCTGAACAGGCCTTTGGGTCATGTTTTATGTGTGGATATAGGGAAAAGGAAAGTTTGTGGGACACTTGAGTTTGCTAGACACTCCTATGGGAGCTTTAGCTATTGCTTCTGAGTCTCCGCAAACTGACCAATACTGAAAAGCAGTCCAGACATGAGCCTGGCCTGGTTAGTGGGAACCACGCCAGGTCAGAGCTCACTGCGAGCAGGGACCGGGGAACATAAGGACTCCACCCTTCCCTAAGTGGCAGTGGTGTTATAATCCCTTTGTTTACTCAAGAGTTTCTGGTGCAGCAGCTGTCGTCAAAGCAAAAACTAAGAGGATTACATAGCCAGGCGTGTTTCTGTCATAGAAATGCCAGGAAAAAAAACTCCATTCCTGCAGCTAAATGTCTTCAGCTAGACTGTGCAGTGATTTGACTTGCTTACCTTTAGATTAGTCTGTTAACCTTCCCTGATTTGCCAGTGCTAATTCCAAGGTTTAATAGGTAAACCATGGCTGACTTACAAGTGTTCCCACAGCCGGACAAGCTGCCTGCACAGCCAGCAAACCCACAGGCTAGGAGAAAGCAAGTGCTTGGAGGTGCAGGTGGCTCAGTACCCCTGTGTGAGCAGAGGGTCTAAGGCAGGATTTTTCTTAATTTTTTTTATTTATTTTTTTAATCTTAATGTTAGGACTGTGAAGCATGTACCTTCCTTGATTTTGTAAGCAGGAACTGTGGTTAGGAATCACTGCAGCCTGTCTACTGCAAGTAAAGATATCTTAATTACAGAGGTTTGAAGCATTTCACATTTAGCACGTTTGCTTATTAATCATTATTTTGTATACATCGATGTAAACCAGGATTTTAGGCGGTCTGGCTGAAACATCCTGTTTTGTTGCACAGCTCAGTTCTTGTGTTTTTCAATAAATATCACCATTAATCACAGAATCACAGAATCATTAGGGTTGGAAGTGACCTCTGCAGATCACCCAGTCCAACCCCCTTCCAAGGCAGGGCCACCCAGAGCAGGTTACACAGGAATGTGTCCAGGCAGGTTTTGAATGTTTCCAGAGAGGGAAACTCCACAACTCCCTGGTCAGCCTGTTCAGTGCTCTGCCACCCTCAATGCAGGGAAGTTATTCCTCATGTTGAGGTGAAACTCACTGTGTTTTAGTTTATGGCCATTGCTCCTCATCCTGTCGCTCGGCATCACTGAAGAGAGTCTGGCACCATCTCCTTTGAGATATTGATCTGCACTAATGAGATCTCCTCTCAGTCTGCTCTTCTCTAGACTAAACAGGCCCAGCTCCCTCAGTCTCTCCTCATAAGAGATGCTCCAGACCCCTGATCATCCTTGTGGTCCTCCACTGGACCCTCTTCAGTAGCTCCTTGTCTTTCATGTACTGAGGAGCCTAGCACTGGACATAGCACTCCAGATGTGGGATCACCAGGGTCGAGTAGAGGGGGAAGATCAGCTCCCTCGACCTACTGCCACACTCCCCCCAGTGCACCTCAGGATGCTATTGTCCCTCCTGGCCGCAAGGGCAGTTAATGAATCAGGCTGTTGGCTGTCACTGGCCTAGATGAGATGGAGCAGATTCACAGAAGGATTTGGAATTGCATTGCTAGTGCAGGGCATCCTGGCACCCAGGGCACCTTTCTCCTACAACTCTGTGTCATATGCAGGTGCAGGCTCTGAAGCAGTATAAGCTCGGGAAGTTAAGGCTTGAGAAATCTGTTTGATATAATAATGAATTGTGGTGCTGACTTATTTATGTTACCCTCTTTTTTTTTATCTCGACAAAATAGTGGGGGCTTCGATTGCTGGTTAGAAAAGGAAGGTACTGTAATTTTATTACCCTTGGTTTCCCCATCATTATTTACGCAGTTAATAAAGGGCAAAAGGGCGTTATGCATGAGTGGTGACGCAGTTGGGTCAGGTGGCACTAATAAACACCGCACGTGTGCATGCTCGCACAGCATGGGAAACCGAGACTACCGGTTTACACGTCCTTGCCACCCGCAGCGCCGCCTCAGGGGCCGGGGACCAGAGCCCGCGCTTCGGCCCAGAGCCACCGGCCCGAGGAGCACTAACAGAAACAACGGGGGCAAGCCCCCCGCCACGCCGCTCCGTACCTCCCCCAACCTCCGCAACAGGAAGTTGTCCGCCGGACGAGGGGCCCCTCCGCTAAGCCCCGGCCCCACACCTCCGGCCCCGCCTGCGGCGGCAGCGGGCCCTGGCGCTTCGGCGTGGAGCGATTTCCCCCTGGCGGTCGCACGGCGCGGCTCCGGCGGCGGCCAGCAGGGGGCGGTATGGTGGCGGCGCTGATTGGTGGGGCTCTGCGCGCCGCCGAGGGGCGAGGTACGGTGGGCGGTGCTGTCGCGGGTAGCCGGGGCTTGCGATGGGGGCGCCGCTCAGCACGGTGAGTGAGCCCTGCGCGGGTCGGGGTGGCGCCGGGCGGCCGCGGGACCTGCGGCTGCGGGCGGGGGTGGGCGGCTGCGTGGCGCTGCCTCCCGCCCGCTCCTCCCGCCGAAGTCCTGAGCGGGCTGTGTTCAGGCCCCGAGGCCTGCCCGCGGGGAAGAGGAGAGGCGCGGCCTTACCGCTAGGCCTTCAGGGCGCCAGGGCGGGCTGTGTTGGTGCCGGAGCAAAGCGGGGGCCGCTGGGCGGGGTGACAGGGTACCCCAGGCCTTTGCTGCCTCCGCTGCCGTGTGCCCAGCCGCGATGAGGTGGCCCTGGGACATCCTCAAGGCTGGCGTGGGCTGGGGCCCGTGTTCCGATATGCGCACCCTTTGTGTGTGCGAGCTGTGATGGTGAGGGTGCTGTGTGCTGTGCTGCGGTGTGTGTGGCTACTCTCCGTTCCGTCCTCCGAATCATTTTTCAGCACTTGTGCTGATGGCTTTAAAGCCACAAGCCTAGCTGTTGCTGCTGTAGTGGAGAGCTCTTTGGGGATCATGTCTGCCGAGCGGTGGATTTGCGGTGC